TGATGGCTCCTTCGGCTTCCGTCGACGCGCGCGCTCCGGCCTCCTCCTTCCTCCATGCTCCTCTCATGCTCCTGGGCACCGGCGTCTTCCGCTCGCCGTGGCCTCCGCCGTGGCCTCCGCCGTGGCCCGCTACAGGACCACCAGCGGTTCGTGCTAGTGGTCGAGGCGGCGCACCCGCACGCGCTGCTTGTAGTGGTACTCCTTGAGGTAGTTCTTGAGGGGCTTGGGCAGGCGGATGTTGTTGATGCCGTCGTAGGTGGTGGCGGAGCAGATGGCGGCGCGGCACAGGTGCTGCAGCGGGAACGGGAAGGTGCGCGCCAGCGGGTTGGTCAGCATGGGCTCGAAGAACATGCAGCACGACGGGTCCTTGTAGTGCTCGATGAGGCCGCACACGGTGTCGGAGGCGAACACGCCCGGGTCGTGCGAGTCGAAGCTGAACTTGTGGTTCCACTGCTCGATGCGCGCGTGCAGCGACCGCCCGTAGCGCCGGAACGACACGGAGAACAGGTACTCCTCCTGGGCGGAGTCGCGCAGCAGGAACGTGCCCTCGGGCCGGTTCTCCAGCAGGCGCTCGGCCTCGTAGCGGTCCATCTTGCCCCAGTAGAAGGCGCAGTTCGTGATGCTCAGGAGGTCAGGTACAAGGCAGTGGATGTAGTCGACCTGCGTGTGCACGGTGCGCTGCAGCAGCGAGCCATCGCCGGCCAGCCGCCCCACCTGCTGCAGCAGCGTCTCCTCGCTCAGCGGCGCCGCCACGGCCCGCGGCCCGCCCAGCCCCAGGCGCAGCGACCGCTCCAGCAGCAGCTGCAGGTCCAGCATGGAGTTGTACGACAGCGGCAGCGACGTGGTCACGGCGCCCGCCTGCTGCAGCTGCAGGTGGTGCTGGTGCTGCAGCTGCAGGTGCGTCAGCGCCTGCTGCGTGGGCGTGAGAGCGCTGTGCACGGGCGTGAATCCGGGCGGCGGCTCCACGCCCTCGGCCATCTCTCGCGCGCGCTCCTGCCGCGCCCGCTCCTCCCAGTCCTCGATGGGGAAGGCGTCGGGGTTGAAGCGCGACAGGTCGATCACGGGCGTGGCGGCCGCGGCGCCCCCGGGGCTGCCTTCGCCACCGCGGCCGCGCCGCCGCGCCGCCGCCGCGCAGCGCCCGCGCCCGCCACGGTGGCCACGGACGGCTGCTCCTGCGCCGCGGGCAGACGCCCGTGCAGGTGGTGCGGCAGGTGGTGGTGGTGCGCGAGGTGGTGGTGGTGGCGCAGGTGCGCCTCGGGCTCGGCGCGGCGCAGCGACGGGCACATGCAGGCGCCGCAGCCGACGGCGGCGCCGGGGCTGGCCGCCGCCTCGGGCTCGGGCTCCGACTTGGACGTCCGCAGGCGGCAGTTGAGGCGGAAGGTCCAGGGCGCCTTCTTCTTCTTGGGCTGCGCCGGCAGGTCGCGCGTGGGCGTCTTGGTCTTGTGGCGGTGCCGCTTCGGGAACGTCAGCGTCCGAAGGCGGCCGGCGCGCGGCGGCGACGGACGCGCGTCCGCGCCCACGCACTCCACCTCCACCTGCACCCGCACGCGGCACGACGAGCACCAGTGGCCGCAGCCGCCACTTCCGCAGGCGCCGCCCGACGCGCCCACGCACGCCTCGCCGCCCGCGCCGCCGCCGCCAACGGGGCGCGTCCCAGCGGCGCCTCGGCGCAGGTGACGCTGTCGCCGCTGCAGCTGCTGGCGCTGCTGGCGGGGGCGAGCGCGGCGGCGGCGTCCAGCTGGTGCCGCAGGTGGTGGTGGTGGTGCGGCACGGCGCGGGGCGGCGTCACCACCACGGGGTGCGGCGCGGGGTCAGGCGCCGCCGCCGTGCCGTAGATGGCCGCCGTCGACGTGAGGCCGCCGCCGCAGCTGCACGTGGTGGCGGCCGCGGGGCCCGAGCCGCAGCAGCCGGCCAGCGCCTCCTGCGGCTGCAGCTGGTGGTGGCGCTCCTGCTCGCGCTCCAGCTGCTCGTGCACGTCGCGCTGCTGCTGCTGGAGGTGCAGCCGCTGGCGCACCTGGTGGGGGCTGCGCGCGGGCTCGGGCGGGGGCTCCGCGGCCCAGGGGGACGCCGGCCGCTGCGGCGGGGGCACGGGGTGCGGGTAGCTGGAGCCCTGGCCCATGGCGGCCGCGGGCGTGCTCTGGGCGTGGGTCAGCGCGCGCCCCCCCGCCGCATGCCCGCTGCTCTCGCCCGCCACCCTCACCGCCTGGCCATGGCCGGGCACGCCGCGCCAAGCCACTCTCCTCGCGTCCACGCCAAGCGGCGCCGTCGCTCGCTCGCACGCACGCTCGCTCGCGCACGCACCCGCACGCACTCGCTCACGAGCTCATTCCACGGCGGGAGGGCGGGCTCGGGCGGGCTCGGGGACCTCCGGAACTGGGGGCGGGGGCGGGGGCTCAGCGGTACTCCCTTCGACGTCCTTCGAGGCCCAGGACTCGCGCTCCAAGGCTCTTCTCGCGTCGCTCCTCTTCTGCCCTCGGCGACTTCGCTCCGCCCTTCGACGCTCGCTCGCTCGCTCTGGCCGTCGCCTCGGGGGACTCGCTCGGCGACTTCGGAAGACGGGCCTGGGGGAGAGGGAGGCGGGGTTATGCGACGTTGAGGAGGGAGGGAGGGAGGGGGTGGGGGAGAAGAGGAGGATGGGGAGGGAAGAGAGAGGATGAGGGAGGAAGGGAAAGGGGGTGAGGGAGAGGGAGAGCGGGAGAGAGAGGGGAGGAGAGAGAGACACGAGAGGAGAGTAGGGAAGAGAAGAGAAGAGAAATAAAAGAGGCAAAATACAACAAACTTTATAAAACAGAGCGGCTCGCAGCTGACGAGGCATTTTGAAGTTGAGGGTATAGAGGGAAAAACAGAAAAACGTAATGTGAAAAAGGGTAGGCCTAAATAAAGAAAAAAATAGAATAATGAAAGCGAAAAAAAGAGATGAGAGAGAAAGGAAAACAGGAAAAGAGAGAAGTGGGATGACAGGAAGAGTCCAGACGAGAACATAGGGGAGAGAAGAGGAAAGAGAGGAGGAGGAAAAAAAGGGGAGAAAGGAGAGATACGAGAGGAAAAAGAAGAGATACAAGAACACAAGATGATCCAAGGTGAGACCTCAAGAAGAGAGGAGACAGGATGAGCTAAGAAGGGAGGAGAAGAGGAGAGAGAAGAGACAGGAGAGGGAAGTGAAGAGAAGAGACGCGATGAGCCAACATGAGAAGAGAGAAGAAAGAAAAGAGGAGAGGAGATAGGAGGGAGGAGACAGGATGAGCCCAGATAAGCAGGGAGAAAGGAGAGAAGAGAGACTAAAAGAGACAACGAACCAAGATGAGAGGGGAGGAGAGAGGAGAGAGAAGAGAGAAGGGAAGAAACACGAAGAGCCAGGATAAGAACAGAGAAGAAGAAGACCGAAGAGAGAAGAGGAAGAAGACCGAAGAGAGAAGAGGAAGAAGACCGAAGAGAGAAGAGGAAGAAGACCGAAGAGGGAGGGGAGCAGAGAGAATGGAAGAGACAGACAGAGCCAAAAGAAGAAGAGAATCAGGGTCACGGGCGTGCACCTGACTTAGCTTAAGCCAAGACTCAAGCCGAGAGTCACAACCGGTCACCTGCTGTGGAGGGAAGGAAGGAGGGAAGGAGGGAGGGGGGAGGGGGGAGGAGGGAGGAGGGAGGAGGAGGGAGGGAGGGAAGGGAGGAGGGAGAGAGTTGTGGGTGAGAGAGAGAGAGAGAGAGAGAGAGAGAGAGAGAGAGAGAGAGAGAGAGAGAGAGAGAGAGAGAGAGAGAGAGAGAGAGAGAGAGAGAGAGAGAGAGAGAGAGAGAGAGAGAGAGAGAGAGAGGAAGGCTAAGACGGACACAAAGATGGCAATTTGACAACAAGGCCCTGTAAACACCACGGGGGATTCTCTCTTATCTACCCCATCTACCTCAACTTCCACGGATCCAAACGGGCTATCAGTAAAACGTAGATTTTAAAATGCCAAGGAAAGGGCTGCGCAATAATGCTCTGTTTACCGATACTTAATCAACTCGCTCTTTGAGCAGTTCCGTTCTAGGGTCTTTTTGTAGTATGTCATAAAAAAGGTGTTTTTGCACAATAGAAGAGAGAGAGAGAGAGAGAGAGAGAGAGAGAGAGAGAGAGAGAGAGAGAGAGAGAGAGAGAGAGAGAGAGAGAGAGAGAGAGAGAGAGAGAGAGAGAGAGAGAGAGAGAGAGAGGGGGGGGGGGGGAAGGGCTAGAGAAAGAAGGAAAAGAGAGAGATTGAGAGGAAAGAGATAGAGAAAAGGAAAGAGATACAGAGAAGAGGAAAAAGATTGAGAGAGAGAGAGAGAGAGAGAGAGAGAGAGAGAGAGAGAGAGAGAGAGAGAGAGAGAGAGAGAGAGAGAGAGAGAGAAGAGAGAGAGAGAGAGAGAGAGAGAGAGAGGGAAAGGCGAGAGAAGTAGGAAAGAGAGAGATTGAGAAAGGAAAGAGATAGAGAAAAGGAAAGAGAGATAGAGAAGAGGAAAAAGATTGAGAGAGAGAGAGAGAGAGAGAGAGAGAGAGAGAAGAGAGAGAGAGAGAGAGAGAGAGAGAGAGAGAGAGAGAGAGAGAGAGGAGAGAGAGAGAGAGAGAGAGAGAGAGAGAAGAGGAAAAAGACAGAGGAGAGAGAGAGAGGAGAGAGAGAGAGAGAGAGAGAGAGAGAGAGAGAGAGAGAGAGAGAGAGAGAGAGAGAGAGAGAGAGAGAGAGAGAGAGAGAGAGAGAGAGAGAGATAGAGAGAGAGAGAATTATGACCCCGAACAGCCTTCATGTCCTCAATTCAGAGCCACCACCCCGTGCCCCTGTTATTCCACGCCACCCCCACCCCCATCCCACCCTCGCCAAATGACTTTTTCTGGGAACCCTGGGCCAAGCCACCACAAAACCTTCCTCTTCCTCTAAGAACCTCTGTTCGTTCGCCTCGCCGTTCGGTTACTATCACACACTCCGAAAAATCCTGAATGTTTTTTCCTTTTCATTCATTCAACCATTCGTGGGGTGTTTTTCTGAACACTCGTTCGAACAATGCAGGACTGTTCATACTTATTACGCGCACACACACGCACACACACAACACACACACACACATATATATACATATATATTCTCCTTTTGGACATTACGCTTATATCTACAGGCCCATTTACACTTTCTATTAAAAACAAATAAATCATACATACATTCTCTTTATGGACATACGCTCATATATACAGGCCTATTTACACTTTGTATTACAAACAAATATCGTCTTCCTGCTCTCCTTCCATACACCTAACACTTTTATATGATTCAGTCCTTCTTCCTCTCTGATTTTAGGTGCAACACCCACTCGGGAAGCGGTGGCCGGTCTTTTTAACTTCCTTAAACAGTCTCTCCTCCTCTCTAACACTAATTATTCATTCGCAGACAATCATGCATCTTATCCCAAAAGCTCTGCACTGATAATTTTTCGCTGCAATACAATACACAAATAGGCCTACCTCCCCGGTGCTTGAATGACATATGTAGGCCTACAGGTTGTTACTAGGCTACACACCACGGGAAGCTCTCTCCACGTCCTGCATGGTACAGGGGAAGGGGGAAGGGAGAAGAGCGACAGGAGGAGGAGGAGGAGGAGGAGGAGGAGGAGGAGGAAGAGGAAGAGGAGGAGGAAGGAGGAGGAGGAGGAGGAGGAGGAGGAGGAGGAGGAGGAGGAGGGAGGAGGAGGAGAAGAAGAAAGAGAGAAGAGAAGAAGAAGAAGAAGGAGATGAAAGGAGAGAAGGCAGAGGATGAGAAAGAGGATGAGGAGTAAAAAGTGGATAGAAGACAGCTAATTAAAGAACAAAAAAGAGAGAGAAAAAGAAGTAGACGACAAAGAATAGCGAAGAACCATACAAAGACAAAAAACAAGGAACTAATAGATAAAAAGGGGAAAGAAAAAACAAACAACCCAACAACACACCAGGAAATATACGAAAGGAAACAGACACAAAGGAAACGGGGAAACAAAACAGGAAATGGACAAGAGAAAACAGGTAAGTCAACGGGAAACAAAAGAGGAAGCAGACAAGAGGAAACGGGAAACAGAAGAAGAAACAGACAAGTGAAAATGGGAAACAGACAAGAAATGAGAAATAAAAAAAGGAAACAGGAAACAGGAAATGCATTTGCCATGTAACAGTACAGGCAGGAGACATGGAAATCCTGTATCCTGCTGTATCCTGCTGTATCCTGTGCAAATGTAAAACATCCTGCATCAACCAATACTGATCCCTGTTGATAATACTGGTCCTAAAGCCATTCCACTGACTATACAGTTCTTAAACAAAATAGCTATAATACTGTCACAATGTGGTTATACCTGATACTTCTATGTAGAAAGGTATGAATGAGAATGGATATCTTCACAAGACAAGAGATGTATTTGACCGGTTTCCAATATATCTTCGTCAGAAATACTTGTATTTCATGTATCTCTGACGAATAAAAATTCAAAACTGGTCAGAAATACATCTCTTGTCTTGTGAAGATATTCATTCTCATTCATACCTTTCTACATTTGTCAATATGAATATGGTTCATGATACTTTTATTTTAGAAATTAATAATACTATTACAATACTGATAATGATAATATTGTCTATATCAAAAACATTAAACATGTCGATGATGATGATGAATCAGCTTCATATCTACATATCAACAAATCAATCAACCAATAGATCAATCAATCTGTCTCTTTTTTTAATAAATCAGCCCCTCCCTAACTGAGTATATTACACCATCAAAGACAAATACAGGATCATGCCCTTGGAGAATGCACTGCAAAGGAAGAATGAAATATTGAGCATCTCAGCACTGAGGCATCTCACACCTCCTGGTATGTCTACATCCTATAACAGCGATAAGTTTGACTCAACAGACTATTGTATAATAGTGAAAGAGGATAGCAGGCACTCTCAGTTCAAGAGTACTTTATATAACTGGGCTACTTATTTAGAGAAAGGCCATGTTTTTAGAAGAGTATTTACTGAAATGTTAATGTAACGAGCCCTACTTATTAGCGGGTTGTTACTAATCACCTGTCAAAATATTAGAAAAAAAATCACTTCTCACTGACATTAACGTTTCCACAAACCTAATTAACTCTCCACATAGCCATGCAAGCAAAAACAAGCGCACACACTCAGGGAAGAGCAAAACACACATGAATATGCCTAAGACCTGTATGTTATATTACTTCTTCAGTGCACACACACACATTCACAGAGCGTTCACAGAGAGTTCAAAGAGCGGCCACAAGATGGGCACCTACTCTAAGAGATCTGAGTTACGAAGATAGACTACAGAAATTAGGACTTACTACCTTGGAAGAAAGAAGGAAAAGGGGGGACATGATTATGCTGTTCAACTGTATTACAGGAAGAGTGAAGATAGATAAAGATGACTTTTTGATCTTGAACACAAGAAGAATGAGAGGACACAACAAAAAGTTGAAAGTAAAAAGAGGTGATAAAGATGTCAAAAAATATAGTTTCCCAAACAGAACTATTGAAGCATGAACAGTCTCCTCAAACACATAGCGTGTGCCAAAACTGTGCATCAATTTAAAAAGTTATACGACAATTTAAATACAGCAAATGGTATCACCTGACCTTAGCTCTTCTCCTGTATTGAAACAACTAGGTAAGAACAACTATGTAAGAACTTATCCATAAAGACAAAGGCTTCCATTCATACACATATACCATTATCTTTGTCATGTTGTCAATTTCATTCATGCTTTAAAGTAAAAAAAAAAAAATCATATAAGAAACTGTGCTACTGGTGATATTAATATATTTTTCTCTCTTCACTAAATCAAAATATGAAATAAATCTCTCTGACAGTCCCCCCCCAAAAAAAATACCCAAGGAAATTGCAAACTATTTTCTAGACATCACTTCAAGAATAATGTCACTTGTCTCTGAGGGCAATTTCACTAAGAATGGCTTTGAAAGTGTTTATACATCTAGACCCATGCCAGATCTGCTGAGCTTTATCCAATTTTTTTTTTTAAACATCCACCCTAGTTCTATGAACATCCATTTGCCCACAACCTCTTTAGTAACATTCAAACATCCACCCCCTCTTATACAGCTGACAATCAGCTGTACAAACAACTGCACAAGCACTGCTGACCGCCAAAAGTCCAGGTTCAGGTTTAACAAACATTCACATCACCTTCAAAAGCATTTCCGTGTCCACACCTGCCACATTAGCACCTAAATATCCACAACTGTTCAGGATGCACTTGCACATCTATTCCAATCTAAAAAGCAACTGTACATCTATACCTGTATAACTAGCATCTAAACATCCACACTAGCTTAAGAGGCCTATAATTCTCTGTACCCATTTGACTAGCATCCACACATCCACACCGAGGCTTACCATCCATAATATGATTCTGACAATGATCAAAAGCTACCCAGTTCATCATATTAAGCGGACATTCTGCTGAGTGAGGTTTGTGTGCCCCATCACCCTAACCGCTCTTTCATTCATGCTGGATTCTGTGAATGGCGATTGAACCAGATGTAGTACATTAATTCACAAAGCTTAAAAGTAGAGACTGAATCAAAAACATTGTGCAAACACAATTTGCCAATGAATTCAGGTCTCTATCACAGATGTGCGCACTTTTGTATGTTGAGTAACAGTAGGAGATAGTGGCGGTGGTGCTGCTGCAGGTGGAGAAGAATGAGGAAGGTAAAAAATTAGTAGAATAAGGAGAAGCAAGGTGAGAAGGATGCTGATGAAGAGAAACAAAGTATAAAAATAGAGAGAGAGAGAGAGAGAGAGAGAGAGAGAGAGAGAGAGAGAGAGAGAGAGAGAGAGAGAGAGAGAGAGAGAGAGAGAGAGAGAGAGAGAGAGAGAGAGAGAGAGAGAGAGAGACAGAGAGACAGAGAGAGAGACAGAGAGAGAGACAGAGAGAGAGACAGAGAGAGAGAGAGAGAGAGAGAGAGAGACAGAGAGAGAGAGAGAGAGAGAGAGAGAGAGAGAGAGAGAGAGAGACAGAGAGAGAGACAGAGAGAGAGACAGAGAGACAGAGACGAGAAAGACAGACAGAAAGAAAGAGAAAGACAGACAGAAAGAAAGAGAAAGACAGACAGAAAGAAAGACAAAGACAGATAGAAAGAAAGAGAAAGACAGAGAAAGAAAGAGAAAGACAGACAGAAAGAAAGAGAAAGACACAGACAGACAGAAAGAAAGAGAAAGACACAGACAGACAGAAAGAAAGAGAAAGACAGACAGACAGACAGAAAGAGACAGAAAGAGAAAGACACAGACAGACAGACACACAGACAGACAGAAAGAAATATAAGAAACAGCAAGTAGAAAAAGGAGGATGAAGAATACTAGGATGCATTAACAGGTATACAATAGCAAAGCCCACAGCCAGCCAGGGCAAGAGAACTAGCTGTACTATCAAGACACCACACGTCACCAATGACCTTGCCAATCACTGTCAGAATAACAATTTCATCAATACACACTACTGCACCCTCACCTTCTTGGGACAGCCATACCGGAATACCAGACACACATCAGCAAGCCACATAAGAGACCCAACTAGGCCTACCATCATATGGAAATGTGCAACATCTATCACCTACACCCTAAAATGCAGACACGAAAACCACCATTAATCTTAAATAATACCTATATAGAGCAGACAAGCAAATTACCCTTAGACTATACAGGAATACTTATCGAGGTCATGCAATGATGATGATGATGTTCATGCAAAGAGTTACTGTAACATGATAAACAGGTTTGGCCTCGCCTGACTCAGCTCCATGGCCAGAATATCAAAATGTTAATTGAATGGGACTCATTGATTAAACAATTACATGCATACATGTTTTGAGTGACACAAACTGCCATGAATGCCCAGGAGAGCCAAGTCCCAATAATTCTTGTACTTAAAATTCCACAAATATAACACTTGACGAGTATATTAATTCTGTTCAACCCAATTACAAGCAGAATCTATTCATTCTACCCATTAAAAAAAAAATCATTCGTTCGAGATCGTAACGTGCTATTGTTCTTCCTGCCACTCTTCACACGGAATCTGATCAGCTGACCTTGACCAGGACAAAGGCTCTTTGCTGATAATGACATTTGGAAAGAAAACATCCAGGGATGAACTGTTATTGCTTCTAAATTAATTCTTTTTGGTTTATTATTCACTTCTCATTATTAATCTTGCCCTTATCACCATCATTTTCTTTCATATCAAATGCATCATTGTTAATAGTGATTAACATCGATGTGTTTATAATAGTCCCTTGTCAACACCATAACTACTATCACTACTACAACCTATACTGTTACAACCTTTCTAACAATCCCATGTAAAAGACATACCAACCTATTTCTCAAAAATAACCTCAGGAACACACACACACACAAAAAAAATCCCCACTTTAAACCACAAGAGAGAGACACAAACAAGTACATCATATATACACCAGGAACTGTTACAAGAAACAGAGGGAAGTAGGGCTGCTTTTGCTTTCGCTGGACAAACACGAAGCTCTTGTGGGGTTTCAGCACAAATTGGTTACATGAGTGGCATATGCCAGCAAGATGCTAAGCAAGCATCAAGCAGTAAAATGACGGCAGCGTTGGCTAATCTTGGTTCTTATTTTTACGGAAACAGAGAAGCATCATTGGGGGGGGGGGGTGGGACATATATTAGTTGATAATGATATTGCTGATAAAAAACAACAATAATGAGTGATGACACTGACAAACATTGTGATAATAATAAAAATAGCTAAAGACTTTCATCAAATACTACTGTCAGGATAAAAAAAAGCATATCTTTTCCTTGCTACCCTGGAAATTAACGAGCCTATATATCACCTGTCAGTCCACCTGTTACACCTTGGCTTAAAATTGATTCAACTGACACCATCTTTCCGCATCAATAACTCACCAGGACGACAAAAAGGACAGAAACAGAAACAACTATAATGAATCTAACAACCGATAATAAAAATCTAAAAACTGGATTATCATGACCTTCATTATTATTTCCCTTTTTTCTTAGATCTTTGCAAATGTCAGGATCTTTCGATGATTTAATAATAACTGTACATCTTCCATCCTATTCTGTCTCTCGAATCCTAACAGTAATCAAATCTTGCTCACCTCTTTACCTTGGTCCTTTATCATCATTATTAAAAACACTGCTTAAAAACCCGTCCTTTGAGTAAATTCTCTCAACCATCAAAAATGTAAAAGAAATTGATTAAAACTCCACATTTAACAGCTGCACAAAGTACCCCGACACAAATCACCTTTTTAACAATTTACTTACAGATTGTATTTGTATTTTGTGTGTATTGTATTTTCCCTCAAGATGGGTCTCATTAGCATTATCTTCCGTGTGTTTTTTTCCTCCACAAAATCATTTCTTTGAACATGTTACACTTGAGATAAAGGGTCACCACTGCTTCTTCCGTGAATAATCTATTGTTTCAGGCGAGAAGAAAGGGAGGAAGAGGAGAGAGGAAGAGATAAGAGGACGAGGGAGGAGGCAGGAGAGAGAGAGCGAGAGAGAAAACCAATCATAATAAATTCAGAGATTTCTCACACCAGCCCTTGCCATAAATCCTTGGTACATTCCGCGAAACACGTCTCAAAAACAAGATCAATTACCTTTCTCGAGCTTAAACACAAAAAAAATCGAATACACTCGACGTATCCACAAGCTACAGCACGTAAAAGGGACACGAAAAAAAATGTGTTCTTTCACTTCCAGACTCAACAGTGCACTGAATGGTGGAAAATGGCCTCCGAACTCGTCATTCACACTCGTGACGTCACAGAGGCACCACTTTGTAAACAACGCTGAAATTGCGTTTTGGGGGGACCAGAGTTGAGTTTTTGGATAGTTGTTGAGATTTAAAGACTATTCATTGTGACTGAAGAATTGTGTGCTATGTTTCTTTTGTTAATTTTGTAGGTTTAGTCACGAACTAGTTTTCGTGACGTCACGAATTAGTTGCNTATAGTATATGACTTGCTGTCCTTATTCCAGCCGGACATATAATAATAAGTATTAATATATTCGTAACAAACCAACCGATAAAAAACAATATAATTTTATAACACTAACAGTAATAACAGTTACAACATAGTAAAGGACATAATTAATAATATGAGAAAAATAGGAGAAGATACACCACCACCAACTTTTACCAACACCTCCGCCACCATCCCCCCACCACATCTTCACCAACAAAAACCCCCCCGCACCGCCAACACCTCCGCCATCGCCACCATCACCGCCACCAACTCACAACACCCTAATGAACAAAAAATCCCCATCACCAACTCCACCACCACACCTGATAACAAAACCTCCCCCCACCACCATCCCCACCCCCCTTCCCCTTCCACCACCCATCCCTCCCCTCCCCACAAACCCCCCCTTTCCCCTCTTCCCCACCATCTACCTCCCCTCCACCAACCCCCCCTTCCTCCTCCCCACCATCCCCCCCCCCTCACCCAACCCCCCCTTTGTATAGTGAACGAACAAGCAAAAAGCGCCGTAACAATACTCAAGACGCAGTCCGCCAATTCGAGTAATGCAAACGAGTAGGCAAACCAAGTCCGCCGCCGTCCTTGGAAGTGGGCGGGAATTACCCGTATATATACCCCTCGTTCCGCCAAGACAAACCAGAGAGAGAGAGGAGCGAGGCAACTACTGCTTCCACTGTTGTCCGAGTCCTGTCCTGTCCCACGACAATATTGTAAAGCGTGTGGGAAATCCTAATATATATCGATTTGAGAAGAGTTTAAAGAAAATATACGTATCTTGACTATAATATTCTTTTTCTTTTTACTACCATACAAGATAAATTCTTGTAACCTGGAGCCTCCCTGGAAATCTTACTATATGAAAAAGATAAATAATTAACTATCTACTATTAAATAAGAAATAATAATCTTTTATAAAATGAACGAACTTGCCACGCCACCACCCAATTGCTTTTCTGATATACTACACCTTCCCCTCTCCCCCACCATCCTCCCTCCCATCCACCAACCCCATTCCCCTCTTCCCCTCCACCAACCCCCCCTCCCCCCACCATCCTCCCTCCCTCCCCAACCCCCCCCTTCCCTCTTCCCCACCATCCTCCCTCCCCTCACCAACACCCCCTTCCGCCCCCCATTCCCCTCTTCCCCACCATCCTCCCTCCCCTCCACCAACCACCCCTTCCCCCCCCCTCCCTCCAGATCCCAAGAGGAGAGCTTAGACGAGTGAAGAACCATTAAGCTTTGTCTTCACGTACAATTATATCTCACGCGAGGCGCTCAACACACATACTAACGACTGTGTGACCCGGATGTGAAAAAATGCCCGGGAGGAGGGGGCAAGGTGGAGGGGGGAGTTAGGGAGATGTTGTGACGTGGATCGTGGTATACTCATTTGGTGCTTATAGTGACTTCAGTGGTGATGGATCTATGGTTTGTGATGGTTATGTAGAGAGATTGTTATGTAGACAGGTATGTGGTGTGTTGTGATTCGTTATCGCCGTGCAAATAATTATGTACGCGAGTCAGGGATGCTATAGCAACGGCTTGAATATAGCACGCTATGGGTAGGGATATATAACTCTTGACAGTTGACGATGAAACATGATAACAAAACGAACTAATGGTGACGGAAGACTAACTAGCAACCAACGCTAGCATCGGCAGCCATCCAAGCCTGAAAACAACAACAAATTTCCCTACCGAGAACAAGCCAAAACGCACAGAACAGACAACCGCTTCCCGGACAACAACAACAAAGAAGAACACGCTTGCTACAGGCCACAGGCAGAGACACGTAGCCCGTGCCTCCCAGACCGAAATATCTTCTAACCCAGAAAAATGATAAACAAACAAAACAAATTTAAAATCTTGTCGCGCCTAATAAACCTTCAGCTTTTCCGGAAGTCCCCAATTTAACGATGCTCTAACAGAATCCAAAGACAAACATTCCCGCAGGTGTCTTGCCGCCAAAACTAAAATAGAGCGTCATTCGAATTAGATGATGGGACGAGAAAATTAAGAAGAAAATGAGAAGAATTAAACAAAAAGTTTAATAACCCACTGTGCGCCGACCAGAAACGATTTCAAGAAAAAAAAAAGAAAAGTTGAAGAAAAACAAAACATGGAACCCAATCTAGCGGACAAGCAATCACCACTCGCATTAATCGCGACGACAAATCTAACGTCCGCTTCGAGTCCGAACATGGAAAGAAATCTCGCGTCCATCTGCCACCATTATCACTCAAGAGTACAAACCGATCACTACTAATTCTCTACACCATACACCGTGAGTGCACTACACACCCAAAGCTCAAACTACCTCCGTACACCAATCTACAACTTTCCTCGCCTGCTTCAATCCTCCTCTGCCCTCCCTTCGCGTGCTGCCATTACCATCTCGCGTGCATTCTCTCTATCTGCGCCTCTCTCTCTCTCGCACTCCTCTACACCACTCTCTCTCTACCCATTTCTTTTTCTTTTCCCCTTTTTCTTCTCTTTTTCCTTCTCGTCTCTGTCTCCTCTCTTCTCTCGCTCGCCTCTCTCTCTTTTTCTCTTCTCCTCTTGTATTTTCTCCCTCGTCAATTTTTTTCTCCCTTTCTTTTTTCTCTCTTCTCTTCTCCTCTCTCCTTCCTCCCCTCTCTCTCCCTCCCCTCTCTCTCTCTCTTGTCTTCTGTTTCTCTCTCTCTCTCTCTCTCTCGTCTCTCTCTCTCTTCTTCTCTCTCTCTCTCTCTCTCTCTCTCCTACCTCTCTCTTTTTCTTTCTCTCTCCTTATTCCTCCCTCTCTTTCTCCCTTTTCCTCTCCCTCTCCCTCCTCCTTCTCTCCCCCCTACATCTCCCTCCCCCCCCTCCCTCTCTCTGTTCTGTCTGTTTCTCTCTCTGTCGTCTTCTCTCTCTCTTTTTCTGTCTCCCTCTCCTCCCACCCTCTCTTTCTCCCCCCTCCCCCCTCTCTCTCTCCCCCTCCCCCTCTCGCTCTCTCCCCTCCCCCTCTCTCTCTCTCTCCCCCCCTCTCTCTCTCCTCCCTCCCCCTCTCTCTGCTCCCCCTCCCCCTCTCTCTCTCTCTCCACCTCCCCCCCTCTCTCTCTCTCACTCCCTAGCCTCTTTCTCCCCAACTCCCCCTCTCTCACTTTCCTTCCTTTATTAAACCCCCTTTCCTTATTCGCTCCTTAGGCTCATATACTTCAATCCTCTCATATTTCTCTCTACTCTTCTTTCATTCCCCTCAACACCCCCTCTCCCTCTCCCCTCCCACCCCCCAGCTTTTTCCTCTTATCCCCAATTTCATTTCCCTAAACCGACCAAATAATATTCTCTCTTTCCCCCACCCACCCCCCCTCTTCTTCCTCACTCTTCTCCGTCCTTTGTCCCCCCTACCCCCCCCCCCTCTCTCTCTCTCCCTCCTCTCTCTCTCTCTCTCTTCTCCTCTCCCCTCACAGTCTTCCTTTATATCCTCAGTATTTACAGCCTCTTACTCCTCCGTCCCTTTTTCCTTCCCTTGAGAGAAAAAGAAAAGAGAAAAAGCAGAGGAAAGGAAAGAGAAGAGGAGGAAGAAAAGAGGGTAGAGAAAAGAGATGGAAAGACCCCCGGGCGGGGTGGTGCGGAGATAGGGGGGAGGGGAGGAGAGGGTGAGTCAGAGTTGAGGGCGGGAGGCGAGGGACGGTGGAGGAGAGGAGGGGTAACGAGCAAGGCCAAGAAGAGTGGAGGACCCGGTGAATGGGGTGTGCGGAGGAGGAGGTGAAGGAGGCATGCCGAGAGAGAGGGATGAGAGAGAGCGGAGACGGAGAGAGGAAGAGTGAGAGAGAGGAGAGGGAGAGATAGGTGAAAGAACGAGGATTGAGAGGATGCGGGAGAGGGAGAGAGAGAGAGGAGAGA